CGGGCTCCCCTGTTCCGGTGCTTCGCGGTGTTAAACCAGTCCCCAAGAGGTGGCCCTGCATTGGAGATCCTAAGGACTTGATTGCCAGTGATTTTCTGAATGCTAAGAAAGTTGAAGCCAAGGTGAAAACAACAAAGGGAAAGGGAAAGAAAGCTGCAGAGGGTAAAAATAGAAGGCTTTCTTTAGGAAATGGGAAGGTTGGGAGTGGGGAAGGTCGAAGACTGAGCTTGGATTTGACTCGAAAAGGATGGGATAACAGTCCTGTTAGTAAAAATGGTGGTAAAGGCATATCGAAGTCTAAATCTAACAATTCACATTCGTTTTCTGATTCTGTAAGTATTTCTTCTTATATAAAAGTATGCAAATACAGTTGCTTGCTCACTGGATTAATTGAAGTATGTTATCTGTTTTTGCCATTTTCTGAGTTCTTCTGTTTAAAAAGTCTGAACTTTTATACATCTATGGTTGTTTTGATAATTTTACTGTACCAAAAGTTAAGCATGTAACAAACTATTATGGAATAAAGAAGTGACAACAACGACGTTCAATAAGGGTGAAATTTCTTACTTTTCCTTGTACATTTTCTGTTTTTGAGGGACACGCTACTTTTTATATATCCTCCTTAATAGAAGTGGAAAAATACAATGGGAAAATAGTGATAGAAATTATGGACTCTATTGTACTGTCTTGTGATGATCGTGTCCTAATGGAAAATTTAAGAGATTCAAAACCCTAATAATAGGATGGCTGTCCAACAAGTATTGGATTATAGAGAAGTAGCTAATGCATTTATTGTACCATCCTAAGGTTTCAGTAATTGATCTAGAGCCCAACTTCTTCATTAATATTTTGATTTCTGTCATGAATATAACTGAACAGGAAAGAAAAATATGATTTGGATGATTTCTGATCCTCTTCTGTCCCAAAGAAAGGGATTTCTTCGGATTATATAAGGTATTAACTCTTGTACAAAATCACAAGCATAATCTCAATTTTACAATGTTTCGGTGTTCAAATGATTACATGTTTTTCTAGGAAACTCTAATCTGTCTGATGTAACGTCTTCTAATTTTTCTACTGGTTATTAGTGGACAAATAAGAAACTTGATACAACTCTCTCACTCTCCCCCATCTTTGTGTCCCTGTATTGAATAAATTTCTCAAATATACCAAGGTTTTTCACTAATATTTGCATTCAATTTCCATTTCCAAATAAATATTGATTTGCAATATAACTTCGATTTCTTTGAGTGTTTACTCTGATATGTTCTTTGGATGGATGTTAATTCTCGATTGTATCTTGTTAATGCTCGCGCATGTAGGCTTATTGTCTGTTTGTACATTTCTTGCACATGATGACTTTTCATTGACGTTTTCTCCAACTTAGTATATATTGCCTTTGCAGATGGTTACTAAGAAGGCTTCTCCCGAGAAGGACTTGATTCCGAAACATTCAAGCATTTTCCCACTTAAAAGCAAAAATATGATTGTTTCTCCAAAGCATTTAAGCAAGCCTATAATAAAAAATCTGAAGTCATCAGATAGCGATATTCTTCCTAGTAATATCAACTGTAAAATATTGTCAGATTCAAAGAACTTGTGGAGTTCACTTTCTCCTACCATCCGTGACATTGGAGAGGTGAACACACTCAGATGTACAAAACTTGTAAGATTTATAGTCTAACTGTTCTATAAAATAATGTTTATGTGAGTTGTGCTTTTCAGGAAGTTCAAAATTATAGGAATGTTGCATTTGTATCTGCAGCTCGTGCACTAGAAGAAGCATCTGCATCTGAAGGGATCATTCGCTGCATGAGGTAATTTGTTTCTAATTTCACATATGATGCCATGGCCCATGACTCCTAATCTCGGAATTTATGGCAATATGCTCTGCCGATGTACCTGATTTGTCTTGTCAGCATGGATAGAATGTTATCCCTAATTTACTGATTCTACTCTGCCGTTTTTCGCATTCAACTAAATGCCAAGCAGCAAAGCCTGCTCTGTATCTGATTTTTAGAAGATCAAACTTTCTTTCCGTACTCCACTTTCTATTTTTTAACACATCGCCTCTTTCTTAATGGGTAGGTTATAGTTGTGATGCATTAAAAATTATCTTTTCCTTTTCATGTGTGACTAAGAATGTACATGGGACATGTTCATCGATGAGTTTGTATGCATGTCTGCGTTGTCCTTTGCCAGAAGGCATTTTCTTGTAGGTCTTAAATAATGCACCAGCTATGAAACTAAGTCTTCGGCAATTTGAACCCGAATCTTTGTAAATTTTAAGTAGATAATAACGTCAGAATCTAAAGTGGATGGGTGGAACCTTTATGTTTCATTTAAATAAGTCACCTTTCGGCACATATTTTGATTGTTATATGACTGCTATTTATTATTTTAAATAAAAGATACTTTTCCTTCTCGTAGAGTGTAACATGTTTAGAAAAACTGTTGAAAAATGTTAGCCCATGTTTGGATGATGTTTATAAACTGTTTATAATTTGTCAAGTCACTTTTTATCCACATTTAGTGGGACCTACAAGCTGCTCATTTATCTACCACTCATTTCTATCTTTTAAGAATTTAAACCATTTATAAACACTTCCCAAAAATTAGTTTAGTTGATTTAAGCCATTTATAATCATTTCTAGTGGAAGTTATTTAGTTTTGAATTCATAAAGATACAATTAAGTGCAGCACAAAATTAAAGCTATGGATTATGAAGGCTTATTTTCTCTTCAGATCTTGATTCTACGTTGTGATTCCTCTCAACCAGTAGTTCTTGTATTCTTATTTTAGTCCATAACAAAGGGATACTAACATTCTCTACTCTTGTACAATGAGAGATAATCATTTGACAGATAATGTTCTTGCAATTTTATTTACTGACAATTCCAGGTGGCATTATTTTTCTAGTCTGCAAGAACCTTTAATTGTCCCAAGGGTGTCCGTCTTAACCTGTTCAAGGTTGTTAGCTAAGATCTCTACCCTTTTTCTGTAGTATGTTTGCAGAACTATGTGACGTGTCTCAGAGGGATTATACAGGACCACTTGTAGAGCAGTTTTTGAACCTTCATGAGAGAATGAAGAAAGCAGCTATAGTTATTAAAGCTCTCTTAAGCAGTAGGGCATCTGATGCAAAAGACAGCGATTACTGTAGTCTGCAACGTTCACCACTGAAGATTAGCAACAATTCTGCAAATAATAATGCCTTGTTGTGGGTACACGCTGCAGTTGGAACTGGTCTTTCCAAATTCTCTTTATTTACTGAGGAAGGAGAGAAGTGCACTACAAATGGTGACAAACATCACTATGTCAGAATAGAAGACACTGCAACGAAAATTGATGAGGAGAATCATTCACCTAAAAACAAGAAAACCCCATTAATCCGTGGGTCAAGTAGAGCAGATTCAGAGGTGAAAGGAATGCAATCTTGTTCAAGGAGCACTTTTTCCAGCACAAAAGTAAAAAGTGTAGGAACGGAAGCTTGGTCACAGGACACAGGATTAAAAGATGATGCTAATCTAGCAGACAAGTTGTTCTCATCATCTCGTATCTGGTTTTTGAATTATTTGGAAGGTTCTTTAAACAACGGATTTGGACTGAGAACCAAGGGAGATAGTTCTGAAATTGCAGGCCTTCTTGGGCAGCTTAGAAGGGTTAATCAATGGTTGGATGATGCATTTAAAGAAGGATGTGGAGATGATGAAAGAATAGAAAGGTTGAAGAAGAAGTTATACACATTTCTACTTGATCATGTCGCCTCCGCACTTCTTACGGGCAGGTAGAGCCTGGCCACACAAAACACATTTCTACTTGATCATGTCGACTCCGCACTTCTTACGGGCAGGTAGAGCCTGGCCACACAAGTTAAGACTACATAATTGATTTCTTTATCACAGTACACTTCAAATGAGTTAACTTTATTTGAGTTTTGTTAACTTCATTGTATCTCAAAGAGAAAGGATAGTCATAGTCAAGCTTCCTTTTTTAGTTAAATGCATAGGAAGGTTTACTTGTGCTTTCCCAAATGAGGAACATAATTGAGTAAATTTAGTTGTGAATTTCTGAATATTTTATCTCACCTCTCTCAAGGTTTAGTTTTTAGCTGTGGTTGTTAGGCCCATGTTTGGCCCTCATTCTCAAAAATTCATTTTTCTCCCACTTATTTTTAACCATATTTCATTGGATTCACAACTTTTATCAAATTTTCAATCACACATTTCATTAATTTTCATCAAAATCTACTAAAAATTAATTTTTTTTCTAAAACAAACAGAATTTACACGTAAAAGTCCTTTTTTGGGTGCTAGTGCTAAATAAATATACACATTTCTACTTGATCATGTTGACTCCGCACTTCTTACGGGCAGGTAGAGCCTGGCCACACAAGCTAAGACTACATAATTGATTTCTTTATCACAGTACACTTCAAATGAGTTTACTTTATTTGAGTTTTGTTAACTTCATTGTATCTCAAAGAGAAAGGATAGTCATAGTCAAGCTTCCTTTTTTAATTAAATGTATAGGAAGGTTTACTTGTGCTTTCCCAAATGAGGAACATAGTTGAGTAAATTTAGTTGTGAATTTCTGAAATATTTTATCTCACCTATCTCAAGGTTTAGTTTTTAGCTGTGGTTGTTAGGCCCATGTTTGGCCCTCATTCTCAAAAATTCATTTTTCTCCTACTTATTTTTAACCATATTTCATTGGATTCACAACTTTTATCAAATTTTCAATCACACATTTCATTAATTTTCATCAAAATCTACTAAAAATTAAATTTTTATCTAAAACAAACAGAATTTACACTTGAAAGTCATTTTTTGGGTGCTAGTGCTAAATAACAGAAACTGATGAATTAAACTATTGCTGATTAAATTCACTCTGCATCTCTTTACATTAAAAGGAACAATTTGCAGAAGTTCATGAAGAGCAAGTAAAACATTCGTAAATTTTACTTAAACTGAATCCTATGAAATGAAAAGTTGTAAGAATTAAGTACTAATGTAGTATCCAGAAACTGAATCCTTGTTTTGGGATTCCTTTGATGACAGTCTTTGCGATGTCGTCTGAACTATAGATGCAGAAAGTGAAGGATTAGAAGCTCCCTTGGCCAAGGCTTTCATTCCCCTGCAGGATTTCATATGTGAATGTAGTTTCTCAGGCTTGAATGACTTCCCACATTGCCTGGTTCAATTCGAACAAAAATATCACTTGACTAGTCCGATTAAGATGATTGTACATGGTGTAACGATTATTATTTTTTAAAATGGAAGTAAAAAAAAAGTGTGAATAATCGACTTACGAGCAATTGATTTGCTTGTAAGCAGTCAAGGGTGTCTTTTACTTTCTTGAATCCTTCACCCCATCGCAGCTCTTTCTGGAACAAAAGCAAAAACGAAAATAAGTTATTTCTTTAAGTAACTCCTACTTACCTTATTGACAGAATAAATGGACATTTTAACTAATTAAAAAAAGTAATTCAAACAAACATGTTTCAAAAATGTTATTTTTAGGATAAGCAAACATGCTGTTACTTCTTTGACGAAGTGAATTAACCTTCTAACTTACACTGAAAAAAATAAATAATAAAAAATTATTGAATTTATAAAAATAGTGTTATATTTTTTATTAACTTTTATTGGAGCTCCAATTTCATGAATATAATAAATATTAATTATTTTATAAAATTGTACAACTCTCATTGTTAAAAACTTTACCTAATAACTTGTATTAAAATAGTTTATACATTGTCCTCTTCTTTTAAACTTATGAAACATGCTTACAGTAAAGGTAAATTACCTGCCATTGCACTGTTGTTGATTCCATGAAGTCCCAAAGATCGTCTGAGAGCCTCCTAGTTTATCCCTTTTGCAAATTTCTGCCGAAAGAACATTATTCTGATCACTAGAACACATATTCAAGAATGGTTTATTCTTTCGATTGATCTTCACAACTGCTGAATCATTAGAATCCACAGCACCACATGATATCAAATTCTTGAATATGTTGGATTTTCCATTGGAACAGCTCTTGTTCTTTGTGAATGAAGCCTCTGGTGAAGTTAGTGCACTATTTTTCTCCATTGGAACTTTGCTGTTCGTCGTCGTCTTGTCCTCACTCGATGGAGTTGGATTCACATAAGAAGATGGACGATTCTCATTTCTTATTTCTTTGTAGGGAAGTTTTTGTTCTTGATCAGTACTACCATGCATGTCTACTTGTTTCAAAGTGTCTGATTTTTTCTCCAGATCACGTTCGATGTTTCCCGAATCATCGGTCAATGTAGATGTTTCGGAGCCAAAAGTAGGCGATTCTTCTTCGATTTCTGATGGTGTTTTTGTTGAAACACCCGTTGAAGTTTCCGAATGAATTTGAATGCAAGAGGGCTTGTGGCCTTTTATTTCTTCAGGGGATAATGGTTCTTTTTGCACGGAAACTTTTTGAGTGTATGAATGGTCTGTCAAATAAATAATTAAAAAAAGAATAAAAAGGAAAGAAAATTCGTTAGAGATAGGGATGACAAGAAAATCCGACAACCTGATACCCGCGGGCCCCGCCCAGAACGGGATGTGGATTACCAGCTTAATCGAGTATTCGGGTCGGAGATGGGGCGGCGAGGCAAATTTTGCCCCGGGGTGAGGACGGGTAAAGGGTGCCCCACCTTGTTTAATTTTTTTTAAAAAAAATTCAATACTTCAAATGAAAAATTTCACGAAATTTCATTAATTTTAATAGAAAATGACAACTAAAATTATTTGTCTCAATCTAATGAACGGAGGGAATAAAATAAATAATCAAAACTAAAAAAATAAAAAATAAATAAATGGGGTAGTAAACGGGGCAAGCCCCCACCTCACCTCACCCACCCTGCCTTAAACGGGTAACGGGGGGAGAATTGCTTGGCGGGGGTATCCTTAGTTAGAGATATAGTTTATATTTATTGGTCTTTAACGAAAATAGAATTGACTTGTCATTATCAAATAGCGAAGTAACTAAAATTGATCTTCTTTTCTAATATTCAAATAAAAGTACATTGATAATTTGATATGATTTACCTTTATCAAATTTAAGAGTGGGAGACGAAATCTCTGATCCTTTGAGAACATATTCATTGTCCGAAATTGGAGTAATGAGATCATCGTCCAGCAAATCTTGCCATATGTAACCTGTCCTATACCTCCTGCATAAAATAAATAAATAAATAAATAAAGTTAATGGAGAAAAATTGAAATTTAAAATATTCAAAGACTAAACATGATGAAATTATGAAATGTTGAAGACATCACTTTTGGGCATATATAGGCAACAATCATCGATTTTAATTGAAGATCATCGGTAATTGATAAATTTGGGTGAGAAAATCATCGACTTTTGTTGAAGTAGGATAAATTGGACTTTTTTTTCGGGTGTGATTATAGAATCTCTAATCTCATTCATACTTCCTTCCTCGAAGCCATTTAAAGTTTAGAGAAATTTAAATGTCGAAAAATTAATTTAATTAATTGCATTCTTCTTCCAACTTGTCCTAGAATGAGCATTATGGCAAGAATAAAAATGAAAACGAAAGGAGAAATTTGTCCAATACTAACAAATGGTGCCTCAATAGATTGACATTCGAACCAACCTAGCAATAAGCAATCCGCCGAAAGCAACCAAAACATTCCTTCTTGTATTGGGAGAAATTTTTTTGTGAAGTAAATGTAAAAAAAACATTATTGATCAATATATAATTGTTCTCAATATAACTGAATTTCTGTGTGTAAAATGTACAAACCTCTTGTATGACCAAGAAAATGATTCCGGCATGTCCTTTCCTCGCAATTCCGCCAACCATCTCTTTACATCTATATTCACAATTACAATATCAAGGTCTACA